ACACATTCACAAACACAGGTATTTTTCCTGCCCACACACAAATATGGGTTATGTGGGATGAGAGACAGACACACATTCCTGCGGTGCCCCTCAAAGAAAAGGGAATTCCCAAATCTTGAAAAATAACAAACTCTTCTGATGAAAATCCGCAGAAATGTTTTAATCCGCACCACGGGACCCTTCGCACAAAACTTATGGACGAGCTGCATGCAAACACCAGCTAAGATTCATCAGAGTGTTTAACTGCCTGTCACAGCGAGCTTGAGGCTGTAACTGGATCTTGCATAAAGCTGAAGGCATTATGCAAGATGCATTATGTATTTTCCTCACATTGAAAAGGTCTCTCTTTGATTTGGCTGTTTGCTGTCTGACGCCCTGCTCGTGTTGGTCCCCGTGTCCTTCAGCGTTAGCATCACCCTCACTATTAAGCATGACCACTTTTTCTCTTTTTTTGTCATCCTGGCACTTTTCCTCTAACTCCATTCTGCTGATCTCTCACTATTTACTCTTCTTCCTTCCTTCTTCCATCGCCTTTACAAAGTTGTGGTATCTTGCTATTTGATGACCTTTCACCTTTCCACCTAAGAGTCTCCTCAGGTAGATGGAGGATCTGTAGCCTGCTGCCTCTTGACCTCTCCTGTCACATTTCCATTTGTATTCCTGGACTTTATGCCATCGTATGTGTGTGCAATCAATTTAAACAAAACTTGTTGCATTTTTCAACATCCTAATTTCTTTTTTATTCTCACAATAAGTATCTTATCTTATTATCCTCTTTTTTTTCCTCTTGTGCGGTATCTAAGATGTATCTGGGCAGACTACTCTGCGTCTCACCTCCACCACCAAAAGTCTTCGGATGTTTTAATGAACACATATAAAATATGATACTCTTCTAACTCCCTGAGGTGCACACTGTTTAAGATCTAAGGAAACCAGCCAATATGATAAGAAGTGTCAAATAATAATGTATAGAACAATAATCAATAGCTATAAATAAATCAAATGAATGAGGTTACAATTTTGATACAAGAAAACTAAATCTATTGTAGTTTTTTTTTTTTTGAAACATGCCTTTTCAAACATAATTAATATCTGTGTTATGACCTCATTTATTTTTCCTAAACTAACACAAAAAGTTTGAAAATGGTTTGTTCAGTCAAAGTATCAAAATCAAAACAATATCAATACTTGCTTAATGTCATACTTAACCATAATTGTGTCTCTTTGCTTTTGAATAAGTATCAGTATCCCTACACCCAGTAACACACACACACACACACACACACACACACACACACACACACACACACACACACACACACACACACACGAGACGGACCGATTTTCAAAAAAAGTTGCTCACCTACAGTACTTAGCTTTCTCCCCCGTCTCACTAGCTCTCTGTCACACACACATTTCCTCTCTCTCTTGAAATCTCCACAATCAACCCCCCACACGTCATCACAAACACACCCACACCCACACCCACACCCACACCCACACACACACACTACCTTGGTGCTCCAGAGTTTGACGGTCCAGTCGAAGGAGGATGTGATGAAGAGATGGGAGAAGTCGACGGTGCCCACTGCGCTGTGGCAGCTGACGCCCGTCACCGGCCCCTGGTGGCCCTCGAACATCTCACAGATCCCCGCTTTGCTGCGGGAGGACGACACGAGCGAGCACATCACCACACTATTCAGCCCTGCAGTGAACTGTTTCTGTTCTATTTTATTTGTATTACTTACACTATTTTAACTATTTTGTCCGTTTTATTATGTTGCACCGATGGAGGAGCCTGTGACCTAAGATTTGCATTGACATATCTACACTGTAGCTCAGTGGTTCCCAACCTGGGGGCGCGTCCCCCTTGGGGGGGCGCCAAAGATCGCAGGGGGGGCCTCAGATGATTTGAGGCCAAATATCATATTTAGACTTTTTTTTTTTCTTTTTTAAATATAATTGTAAAGCAATACATGATTGACACTAAAAGCCTTGTCTCTACATTACAATAAAATATAAAAAATANTTTACTATATGGGACAGACGCTATAGCCAGCAGGTGCATTTCTATAAAGCGAGTCTCTAATGAATAGAAGTGGGATCGGAGTCGAGGCCTTTTGACTGCATCTCAAGAGCACCTGCACTCTTTTTCTGGGAGCCTTTCACACATAAATTTCTCTCTTCTCCCCCCCACATATCTCAAAGTCCACAGATCAGCGTAAAACAAACAATAATAGTATGATGCACTCATTTTTACATGTTATACCCTACCATTCTCCCACATGAATCCACCCACCCTTTGTCATGCTAACTACCACTGAGCTACCTCAACGTTGAATTCTTTATTCAAAATTAATTAACTCGCAATTATTTTCTTAATATTTTATTCGCTAACTGTAGACGACCAAGGCTTTTCTAAAGTGACAGACTCAATGTATTCGCGTTCACAATTACTACTGCCCGGAACAAAAACAACATAACCACGTGCCTCCTAACGCAGTGGTTCCAACCTGGTGGGCGGCAAAGACCTCGGCAGCGGGGCTCGCGCACGGCCTCAGACTGATTTGAACGGCCAAATCCTCATATTTAGACTCTTCTTCTTTTTTTTTCTTAATCTACATTACAATAAAATATAAAAAATAATTGATTAATTAATTTGAATAACAATTCAAGTTAGTAGCTATTAAAGGCATAAAAAGACAGAAATGTATAATTCTTTCTTTAATAGAAATGTTTCTTCTGCCCGTAAAGTGTCCAAACCAGGCTTGTCTGGATAAGCGCATTTTAAAACATAGTCATTGTCCATGCCGGTTTCAGTTGGATTATTTGTCACAGTTGCTCCGATCAGATCGGTCTCCTCCATTTTGTAGATTATTTATATTTTGAATCCACATAAACCTCAGGCCTCAGGTGAAGCACACAGAAAACCAAAACAAAAGCATCGCACTCCAATAATATTTAATAAACACAACAACTAATATTGATATCTAAACATGCAAAAACTGGCTTTCTGGCTGACCTTTGTGACACTACTTGCTGAGATTATCTGACATCTGACTAAAGATCCTTAACTATGTACAGACATAAATCCCTACACACACAAGAGATGCAGATCCTAGGTTTAGATGTTATATTTTTACAAGTTTAACTTTTAACCTTTTTTTTAACTAAATTAACATATGATTAACTTTGCAGGTTATTGAGAGTGTTTCCTGAGGGAAGCCTCTAGCATCATGAGGAACCTTGAGTTATAAGTTATAAATTATAAGCAACCTTTCTATGAGCCTGTCAATAAGGCGCTCAGGAACGTTGCGTATATAAAAACCCTGCAATAACACAGAGAGTAAGATGGAGGTTTTTTTCTTAAGGGAGGGAGCAGAGGGAGGGAACTAGAAAATAAAAAGTAGGGAAGAACTTACCTCTATAAAGGAAAATAGTTTGGCAAGAGCAGAGAGGTTTTTCTTCGGAAAACCTTTTGGGAGACCACAGAGACTGAACTGTGAGTATTAGAGATGATGAGTTGAGAGAACAATACAATTTAAAAACTGTTGCTTTACAGGAGTTTACTAAGTCAAGGATGTACATTTTAAATGATTTCACTTTTTTGTTGATATCTATGATTTGCCAGTTTTTAAGAAAGATCACCTTTTAGCCGGGATCACATTTAGTGCCCAGAATGTTTCCAACCTATGTCTTGCTTGTGAAACGTATAGATTTTCAATTTGAGTGATTTTGTTGGGCCATGCAGGTCAGGTCCATTTGTTATGAAAAAAAGTAAATATTTGACGGTTTACAAATAGTGCTCTCTAAATTTACCAATAACATTTCTCATTTATTTTGTTTGGCAGGTGGAGTTACAGGAGCCACCTACTGTATGTGAGTGTGTGTGAGGCACCATGCTAGGTTTTGTGAACAGTTTGATGGTGCGGCGCTACCTCACTTTAGTTACAGGTCTGTTTGAGTGTCTGTGCTTCTCTGGAGCTGTGTTTGGATGGGCTTCTCTTGTTTTTATCCTAAAGACGGAGGGCTACTTCAGTTCTCTGTGCGTCAGCACCACAGGAGTCAATGCAACGCAGATCTTAGGTCAGTTTGATATCCTCACCTCCACTATTTTAAATTGTAAGCTGGATATAGCCAGACTAATAATTGTTGTCAAATGAGTTTGCAATAAAAAAAAAACTCTTTATGCAGGCCAGGCACTCTGACACTCATTTTCAGCTATTTAAGCACATTAAAGGGACATTTAGGATTGTTAAAAGTGGGGCTGTTAAAGGTCCTTGTCCAAGGTTTGGATAAAAAGACAGGCAAAGAAAGCTAAGCAATGTATTACTGTGAACAAGGGCGACAGCAACATTTAAAAAAACATGTGACCACCAAAAAAACACTGACTAGGCCTAGGGATAAGAAGTTCATACAATCGGACTTCAAACAAACTCAAATGTTCCCTTAAGGTCAGAGAGGCCTGCATAAATAATATTACTTGAACAACTGGTACTAGTAACCAACTGTAATATATATTTTACAACCGTGCCTCTGTCTCTCTCTCTCTCTTTATGTTGTATGTGTCTACAGATTGCAGCGGACAGGATGAACAGTTCTCTCTTGTTTTCACCATCGCCTCCTTTCTGTTCAGTTTTCTGATGCTACCAAATGGTGTCCTCTTCGACCGGTTTGGTACTACAGTGGCTCGGCTCTTTGGAATGTAAGTCAGAGAATATTTCAATAACAGACTAAAAGGGAAAAAGATGTATCATCCATATATCCATTCCTTTCCACTCAATATAGTGCGTTAAGGGGACCTATCATGCAAAATGCACTTTTTGATGTATTTTATACATAAATATGTGTCCCCGGTGT